GCACATACATTCAGGTACACACACACATACACATAAATTTTGTTTTTAAAAAAGAAGTAAACTGCTATAGATACCAGTGGGACGAGGGGAAATTGTCCCATGGGCATCCAGACATGCCACCTGTGTGTAGAACTTCAGATTTTTTTTTTTTGCTTCTTATCTGCCCATATTCTTTCCTTCCTGGACAACATGTATGTATTCAAAGACTTGTGTTCCACTGGGACCTTTGAAACTCTATTCCAGAGATGCGAGCCTTGGCTGAAATTCTTGGTCCCTATGGCATGAAGTTCCTGAGTGAAAACCTAATGTGGCATGTGACCTCTCAGATTGTGGAGCTGAAGGTACTGTAAGTGGCCTGGTAAAAGGTCTCTCCTAGGAGCAGGATTTGGAAGACAGAGCACTGGCCTCTCCTTTCCCTACTGTACGCCTCTGTTTTCTTCAACTGCAGAAGCTGGTGGTGGAGAACATGGATATATTGGTTCAGATCAGATCCAACTTCAGCAAGCCAGACGTAATGGCGTCTCTGCTGCCCCAGCTGATGGGTAAGCACTTTCCTAAAGGAGCTATGAGAGATGTGCTGTGAAGACTTTGAGGAAGCAAATCATCACCATTCTCCCTGTTCTCTTCTCCAACAACCTGCCTTCTCTCCAGGGGCTGAAAATGTGCTGAAACGAATGACCATCATTGGGGTGATTCTCAGTTTTAGGGCTATGGCCCAGGAGGGCCTGCAGGAGGTGAGTGGGGAAGGCTGATGCAGACCTCTAGGCCTAGGTGTGGGGAGCCTGGAAAGCTGGCTTCTTAAAAGTCAATGCCCCTTCCTGTCCATTTCTACCTGGGTTTGGACTCACTCATCTTCTCTTTCTCCAGGTTTTTTCTTCCCACTGCCCCTTTCTCATGGGCCCTATTGAGTGCCTGAAGGAGTTCGTCACCCCAGATACAGACATCAAGGTAGGGGTGCAACTTGGAGTTCAGTTGGGTGACTTGCCGAAGGGAAAGGCTATCTATAGGATCTTGAGGGGGGGCGAGGCTAGGGCTCTGAAGGATTCTGCAGGAACAAGAGTTGGGACTTTGAGTGGGGCAACAGGTCAGGCGGACCTTGGGAGAGGGAGAGGGCAGAACTGGAGAGCCATACGGGATACAGAGGCAAGTGGGAGCCCTGAGAGACTTGGGGAGACATTCTGGAGGGAGACAGGTGAGATCAGGGGTAGTATCTGTAGGTTTTCACTTGAAATGAGCAATATGCAAATTATATGTCAAGTTCCTTGCAAACAGGTCCCCTCCTTAGGAGTACTTTTTATAAGATTTGTTCCTTCCTTTCCCGCCCACCCTGTCTACCTTAGAGTTCCCCTACCACAGCCTTTTTATCCTTCTCAGTTCTTAAACTTTCTGTCCCCCTTTATCAGTCTCAGGCACCCATGTGCATAGGAGAGAGAGAGAGAGTAGGAAAGAGGAAGAGAGAGTAGGGGAAAGAGGGAGGGAAAAGAGCTTTTGCAGGCAAACGGAGCTTAACTGTCCACTCCCTCCACCCTTGGAGTTAGCTTGTCTTTTGAATCCTCTAGTGCAAACAAATGTGTTGTGCATGAAAATACAGCCAAAGCCTAGGACAAGCTCCTCCTGGTACAAGGAGCAGGCTATTTCTCTTATGATTAATTCCTTTAAAGGAAAGAGGTCTGAGCAGGAAGAATTGGAGTAGGATGTTAAGAAGAACGTCTTTCCTTCGGAATCAAAACAGTTGTGAAGCTTCCTCTTTTTTATGCTTCAAATCACCTGGGAGCCAGGTGATGGGCGATGGCTGCCTGGGCTGGCCACTCCTGTTAGATAGCTTTGATATGATGCATAGCCTGGCAGTTGCTGATGTGAAGGCTGAGTGCTCCATCCTCTTAGGAGCTTGTCTGGTTCACATCATCTGGACGTTTGACCTGTAGGCTTAGCTTGTCTGGAAAAATAGGCAGGTGGGTCTTGAAAGGAGATGACCTGGAGGACAGTCAAGGGAAAATGAGACCTGTCAACCGTCTCTCTCTTCCTTCAGCACCACAGGTCATTTATTGTGTCCCTGATCTGCCACAGGCAGGTGGGTCTAAGGGATTTAAATAAAGGCTGAAGAGAAGGTGGCTTCTGTATTGGTGCTATACACAAGGTGTGTTGCTATAACATCTGTGGGGCCTTTGCAAAAAGATGTACCAAAAAGAACCCCCAAACCAAAACCAAAACAAACCTTCAGAAGAGGTCTAAGTACTTGGAATTGGAGTCAGGATTTGAGTTACGTTGGGATCCAGGTATCAGTCAGTCAGTCTTCATTGAATGATTTGTATCTGCTCAACCTTATGAGAAACACTAGGAAGATGAAGAAAAATGCAAAGATCTGGTTAGAGTAAAGGGAGAGGTGGGAGGCATAATTCTGTTAGTCACTAGGGTTAATGCTTTACCCATATGTGTCTAATATAAGTATCATTTCTATAGATGAGAATCCTGAGGCTCAAAGTGGTTAAAACCACAGTGACTAAGTGATGGTGGTAGGATTTGAGCTGGTATCTGTGTCACTCCCAAATGCCTGCTGCCTTCACTACGCTGTAGTATTTTTGAAACTTGTTTGGGAAGCAGCCCCATGTCTTGCTTACGCTCTGAAAAGTCTGCTAATACCAAGTGCTGTGTACGGTCCATGCTTGGTCAGTGGGACAAGGAAGGAAGGAGAATGGGTTTGGACCGAATTGGGGAGGCCTGCGAGACTTGAGCTGAGCGTGAGGGCTTCACATGACTTCCATGCACACAAACAGAGAAGAGGAGATGATGCGAGAGTGTGAGAGAGCTGACCGAAGCATGAAAGAGAGGAAGTGGTTACTGGGGACAAGCGGATGCGTTACCTTAGCTGCATTAATTAAATGAAGCTTTCGGGAAAACAGTGTTGAATGCCAAGCGGTGTGTGTGTGTGTGTATTTGTGTGGGTTTGGGCGTTAGTACATGTGGGTGTATGTACATGTGCTCGTGAAGCCAGAGATTGGCCAGGTGTCCTCAGTCAGTCTCCATCTTTGTTTTTGAGACAGGGTCTTTGATTGAACTGGGAGCTCGCTGATTTGGTTAGGCTGACTGGCCAATGAATTCTAGGATCTGCCTGTCTCTCTGCTCTAGGACCACAGCTAGGATTATAAGTGTACACCACCATGAGGGTGCTGGGATTCAAACTCAGGTCCTTGTGCTTGTGCAACAGGCATTTTATTGACAGCCATCTCCACAGCTTCACAAAGCATTTTCCTCCATTGCAGGCTATTGAAAGCTATGGAAAGACTATCTAGAAACATTAACAGTACACCATAAGTTAAAGTGCTGTGACCTAGGTGTCCTGGCTGCTGAGAGCTTCTGCTAAGCACGTCTCCTATGCCAGAATTTCTCTCCAGGAGGTTGTTTTGTTTTCTTCCAGGTCACCCTGAGTGTCTTTGAGCTGGCATCTGCTGCAGGGGTGAGCTGTGACATTGACCCAGCCCTGGTAGCTGCCATTGCCAATCTGAAAGCTGGTAAGATAGAAGGGCTCATGCCCTGCTTTTGGGTAGGGGGAATGCCAAATTTAAAGAATTATTTATTTAGGGTTGTGAATGCAGAGGATATAAGCTGGGAGGCAAGACAAAATATAGCCCCTAACCTCCAGAAGATGCTCACAGAGGTAGGCCAGCAGAAAATAGTTCTGAGTGAGAATCTCTTGTTCAGCAAGTGCCTGGGGGAACTTACGTGTGGTTGGGGAAATAAGATTCACACAAATGAATCAAAGAGGGAACAACCCTGACAGCAGATGGTTTCACACTAAGCTGTGTGGGCTGGCATCCAAGTTCCCTACCGTGGTGCTGTGCACCTTCCAGTCCTTCCCCAGGACCACTCTTACATGTTCCACTACATATTGCTCTGATTTGGCCCATTTGTTGCTATATACTCCTGGAAGAGAACTGACCCCAGGGATTGGTATTAAGTTCTGTGGATTCACCCATTTTCTTCTCTCTTGATCAGTGAGATTTTTTCTCTCCTTCCTGTCTCTCCATCTCTTAAGCTAACAGGTATCCTAGGATGCAGAGCCCTTGAGGGTTTTGCTCTGCCATGGGACTTGGGCCTCACTATAACTGGGTACTAGTCCTGTCTCCTTCAATCATTTCTAACCTGCTTACAATACATGCTAAAGCATGTCAGAGGTATTTTCTCATGTGACCATGATTCTGGGGAGTAGAACTCTTGCAGGCGATAATTCTAGTTTGTTGACCTTACTTTCCCCTTGTCCTTTCTTTCCCCCAGATAACTCATCTCCTGAAGAAGAGTACAAGGTAGCATGTCTGCTCTTGATCTTTCTTGCGGTCTCCCTCCCACTCCTTGCCACTGACCCTTCTTCCTTCTACAGCATTGAGAAGGATGGTAAGTAAGATGTAGGTTTGCAGGACCAATGCTATTCACGTCTCTACTAGGGAGGGAGGCGGAATAAAGATAAGTTACCTGGAACATACAGACTGCTTTTTGTGGGGAGGGGTTGAGACAGGGTTTTTCCTGTGTAGCCCTGGCTGTCTTAGAACTCAATTTGTAGAACAGACTGGCCTAGAACTCACAGACATCTACCTGCATCTGCCTCCTAAGTGCTCTGTGAGTTCGAAGCTAGTCAGGTCTACAGAGCTAGTTCCAGGTTCCAGGACAGCTAGGACTGTTATGCAGAGAAATTCTGTCCTGAAAAACCAAAACAAACCAAAACAAAAAAAAACAACAAAAAGCAAAAATACTTTATCCCAATAAAATACCATAGGAACATACTTAACTTCTTCTAATCCTTGAATATTAACTAGTTATTTTGGTGTCAGTTAGGTTGGTCTAGCCTGAAGATAGAGGGATAGGGACTGGGAGAGAGAGAGGGAGAAGGGGAGGAATTTTCATTTTGGGCCAGCCTGGGCTGCTCACTTTGCCATTCTGTCCCCTCCCCCATTCTAACCTAGGCTACAACAACAACATCCACTGTTTGACCAAAGCCATCATACAGGTGTCTGCTGCCCTCTTTACTCTGTACAACAAGAACATTGAAACCCACCTCAAGGAGTTTCTGGTGGTGAGTGGATCTAGACCATGAAGAGTGGATCTAGACCATGAAGAGTGGATCTAGACCATGAAGAGTGGATCTAGACCATGAAGAGTGGATCTAGACCATGAAGAGTGGGAGAGGCTTGACTTTAGCTCCTACACAGTTGCTACCAAAAGGTCTTTGGAGTCTAGTCTCCTATGTCATTCATGTAGGAAGAGTGGAGGCTACTCTGTGAAAGGCAGGAGCTTTTCTAACTTCCCGACAGCCGGGACTTCAGCTTCTGGCCAGACACTTGGGGAGATCATTGAACACTGAGAAAATCTGAGTTTTGCTGTTGTGAAGTCCTGTGACCTCTGAACAGACAAGCTTTTGAGGTCTCAGTTTTTCATGTATAAACCAAAGAGATTAAACTGATTCGTGATTTATCATGTTGGTGCACATCAGAATATCCTGAGGAGCTGGTTAAAATGGACTCTTCATCTCTACCCCAGACCTCCTGAATTAGCATACAGGGTGAGGTATAGCCTGGTGTTTCTGGTTTGGTCTCCAGGAGATCAGAGATAGATTAACGTCGCAGTGATGCTGGAGTTTCGTACTCTCTAAGGACCATCCCTCTATAGTGTCCCTCACCAGTTTTCAATCTTGGTTTTAAATAATGAAGCAGTACTATTCCAAACAAGTGGGCTTAGTCTTGGGAACTTACTCTGAGAACCTTGGATTGGGTTTCTGTGGACTGGAGTTTATAACCAAACAGTAGATTCTGTGTAGGTAAGGTCCTTTTTGTTCGAAAATTTGTTGAAAATGTTTTTAGCCAAAGTTTGACTCCCTGTAAATATCACCATTGATCTTAGTTTTGCCTCTGGAAAAATGCAGAATAAATAATTCCTTCCATAGTTGAAAGAGGCCCTAGAGTTTTCCACTCTGGATCCCCATGGAGGATTCCTGTTTATACACTCTGACTCACAGTCAATTACCTTTACCCTGCTGGAGTATTCTCAGCAAAGGGAAACCTTCCTTTGTGAAGCACGGTCAGTTAAAAATTAGGCCTCATCTTTCTCCTTCCAGAAGGAAACAGCAGATCATGTTATTATTATTATTATTGTTTTTTAGGAATTATGTCTTCATTCTGAGAGGTACACACCAGGGACAGTAGGCTGGTTAGAGGGTCTCTGCTTAAGCAGGTATAACCAACTTGACAGAATCGTCTCTAACCATCTTAAAAAATAAAGATCTCTGAGAAAAGGGATGCCTAACCCCACTTCTTAGTTCCCCTTTGCCCTGTTTGTTTGCAAGTTCAGGTTACCTAGGCCTGGACTGTGACTTACACTTCTATCTACCTCCTTGATCTGTTGCAGGTTTGGCAGCCCCTTAGGAGGTGATAGGGGGAGAATATTAAGAGTACTGTGTTTGAGGTCCATCCTGGCTTTGGGGTGCAAAGTCGGCTGTAAACAGTTTGTTGACGGAAGTTATCTCAGGCTGCCAAGGAAGAGATTAATCTCTTGGTGTGCAGCATCACACTAGCCTTTGTTCTAGGTTCTTCCCTGCCCCTTGGGCCCTCTTTTCTGAGATTTGATGAGCTCCTTCTGTCTGCACTGGCAGGCTGAGCCACTGGGATTCATTTCAGTTTGCAGGCAGCATGTGTCTCTCAAACCTAGGGACCTGACACTTTCCCACCAGAGCCTTCAGGAACAGCCTAGCACTTCTTAATGCTCTTGATCTTTTCTTAAGTTCCTGTAGCCCGAGGCTGTCCTATTCTGACCTCCATAAAAATCTGTTTCTTTACAAATGCTTCCTCTGCAGGTGGCTTCTGTCAGCCTCTTGCAGCTGGGCCAGGAGACTGACAAGCTCAGAACCAGAAACCGTGAATCCATTTCTCTGCTCATGCGATTGGTATGTATCTTGTTTAAGTTGGTCTAGAAATGGAGAGGAAGGACCAGCAGGAGACTCCTTTTTAGGGTCTTTGGGTCCCTGCCATGTCATCAACCAAAAACATTAACTAAGAATTTAAGTCCACCCGGATCCTCTGGATCTGTCCCCACATCTTAGTGAACATTCTAGACTTGTCTTGTGATCCCAGAGCAGAGCATTCAAGGACTTCTAGGCAAAAATGGGACCTCTCTGGCCCCTGGCTCATAGGTCCCTTGTCTTGCAGTGTTCCTGATTCTGACCTGGAGAAGGGCAGCAATGCCCTTTTTGGGTGGCTATTCAGTATGCTTTTGGTTTTCTGTGACAACTTCCTGCCAGTGTCTTTCTTGACGTCAAGGTGCTATGAAGAGAACACTGGACAGTACGGAGGGGACTTTGGGTTATGGGGCTCCTAGGAAGGAAGGGATTTGGTTCTGAGGCAGGGAACTTGGTAAGGCCTTGAATCAGGTAGTTCATGCTATTTCTTCTCCCTGCTTCTCAAGCTGTGCACTTGCCTTTAATGGGACAGAAAGTTCTGGATCTCTGGCTCAGTTGGCTTTCTAAAGTGCTCTCCTTATGCCCTTGCTTCCCTCCCAGCATGCTTGCTCACTTTGCTTATCTGGTAGTCTGATTCTCCAGGTTGGGCAGGTAAGGCTGCTGGGTCTTTGGAGGCCTTCCTCTCCCCTTCCTCTCCCCCCCCCATCTCCCTCACCGCCTCTCACCTGCCCATTACCCTCCTCTGGCCTAGTGGGAAAGTATATACCACAACTCATAGCACGCACTCAAGATATCTCTATGGTATTAGAGCTCTCCAGCCCACCTACAGAACCCCTTCCCCAATACTGGGAGGACAGTGGATGTTCCTCTGATACCCAAGCATATATGATATATATGGTTGCAGCTAAGGTGTGCAGGTAGGGAAGTGTGTGTGTGTGTGTGTGTGTGTGTGTGTGTACAGAACTCCTCAAATGAGGTTAGAAGGGAAGAGGGACTGGGCTAAAAACTGAGTGTCTCCTTCATTTTATTAGGCTACAGAACTCTGAGGAATCTAAGAATTAAAATTTTTATAGTTATTTGTGTGTATGTATAGACATGCCATAGTGCACGTGTGGTCAGAGAACAACTTGCAGGAGCTGATTCTCTCCTTCTACTGTGTAGGCCCAGGGATTAAATTTAGGTCTTCAGGCTTGGCAGCAAGTGTCTTTACTAGCTGAGCTAGCTCTCTGGTCCAAGTCTATGCATTTTTTTTTTATGAGACAGAGTTTCTCTGTTTTGGAGGCTGTCGGTCCAGCCTGGCCTCGAACTCACAGAGATCTGCCTGCCTCTGCCTCCCGAGTGCTGGGATTAAAGGCGTGCGCCACCAACGCCCGGCAGTCTATGCATTCTTAATTCAAGTCTAGACTTCAATGAAATTTCAAAGGTATATTTTGAAAGTATGACATAGTGGGTTTATTTGCTTATTTTGAGAGACATTCTCATGTGTGCCAGGCTGGCCTTGAACTCCATATATAACCAAGGATGACTTTGAATTTCTGGTTTGCCTGTCTCTACCTCTGGAGTGCCATTATAACAGGCACATATCACCATACCTAGTTTATTTCTTAAAATTTTAGTTATGTGGTATGTGGGCTTAGAAATGTAGGGACCCATCCCCTTGGGTTCTCTTCTTTAAAGACTAGGACCCTGAATTGTATCTATGTCTGTTTCTGCAGCCAGAAAAGGGCTACCCTTTATTATGATGGGGGAGAGAATGCACTTGAGGTGTGCACATGCGTGTAGGGTGTGTGAAGGCTTCAGGGAGGAGGATGTGGATGAGAACAGTGGGAGGGGGGATGCCGGAAATGCAATAGGCAAGCACTGCATTTAGAACTTCCTTCCTTCCCTCCTTCCCTCCCTCCCTCCCTCCCTCCCTCCCTCCCTCCCTCCCTCCCTCCCTCCCTCCCTCTCTTCCTTCCTCCTTTCCTTCCTTCCTTCTTTCCTTCCTTCCTTCCTCCCTCCCTCCCTCTCTCCCTCCCTCCCTCTCTGCTTTCCTCCCTCCCTCCCTTCCTTCTTTCCTTCCTTCTTCCCTCCCTCCTTTGCTTCCTTTCTATCTCACTCTTTATGCAAGTACAGCATTTGGAGCCCACCCCCTAGCTTTCCGAGACAGAGTTTCCAAATCAAAATTCCCCCTCCTCAACTTCTGAGTGCCAGTATTGCAGATATGTCTTCATGCCCAGCAACAGCATGTCCATAACAGTAGGTAATGACCCTCATAGTGGCGTGGTTAGAATCAGGAGATATTTGAGGAAATGCATTGTAGACATTAAGTGCTCAATAAATGGAGCTCCCTGAGCCTGCTGCTAATTTTAGTTTCTGGATGACTTAAGCATGCCTCTGTTTCCTCTGTGGGTGGGAGGTGACTGTGTTGTGAATTGCCTTTTAGCCTCACTTCCTCTGTTGTGATCCCCACCTCCATGCCTGCTCCAAAAGATGGGGAGGTTCTTGCCCCTGGTACCCCCCGAGGAAGAATAGCAGGAGCAGAGCCAGGACCAGGCACATTTTGCTGAGGTGAAGATTGGAGGGACTAGCTGCTGCAAAGCAATTTAAATGCAAATGTTTCCACAGAGAAATTGGAGATGACTGGAGGGAAGGCACTGTGTTCTGAGTTAAAAGGTTATCTGTGTAATCCCACAATCTGGCCAGGACTTCTCTCCCTGGGGTCCTCCTGTTCTCACTGTTCAGGCTGAGCACTGTCCACCCGAGAGTTGACAGCCTGTTCCTGGCATGGGTTTCCTGGGGGAAAAGAGATGGTGCTCTCAGAATCAAGAACTCTGATGTCAGTCACATTGGATCCTGGCCATTATTTGAGACATAAAAGTTGATGGTAGGGAAACTGTGGAAGAGTAGAATGAAATTCAAGATATATGGGCTGCTTTGAGACTAGAACCCAAGTCTCCGGACCTTCACTCTAGGACAGTTTCCTGTGCCACAGACCCCTGCTATTTTCCTGGGGGAGAATAGGAGGTCATGGGCCAGTGGCTCCTTCTTGAAGCCATCAGCCATTTCTCTGCATGTGCTCCCTTCTGCTGGCCGAGGGTTGGAAATCTCACTAAGCAAAGAACTCTGTGTTACTCTTGGGACTTAGTTTTTTTTTTTTTTAAACAAGATTTTGCTATGTATCCCTGGCTGTCCTGATACACAGTATGTGGCCCAGGCTGGCCTCAATCTCATGGTACTCCTGCCTCAGCCTTGAATGTTGGAACTGCAGGTGTGAGTCACCACATCTGACTGGGGTTGTGGTTTTGACAGCAGATTTTCTTTCCTCCAGGGCGTCTCTGCTCTTTTGAGGCCGGTGTGTGTATGTGTGCGTGTGTTTGAGAATAGAAAAATCTTACCAAAGTAAAGCTTGAAGGGACTTCGGAGAGTGATAGAAACATGTGAGGGCAGACAAGGCAGACTCTCTTTCCTTAGCAGATCTGCAGAGCTGGAAATGCCAAACACATTGGGAAAGGCCCACTGTGAGGACTGCCAGAGGATGTGGGAATCCTCTCAGGAGCATGTGTTTAGACTCATGATTTCTTGAGTGGAGAAGATTCTAAGGAAATACACCCTGTTCCCACCCAGATGGAAACCCAGCCTCTCTCCTCTTCTCACGCCTTTACTTCCATGTTAGTCTTCTCTAGGCTTCCAGTCTATCTTCTGTTTAGCTATGGGAACTGCCGGGATTGCCACAGCATGAAAGCTTCTAATTAAACTAATTAATCATGCCTGGCCTTTTATGTAGCATCCTTACTGCTTCCCAGATGCTGTGCTGGGAGAGGGAGGAAGCTGAGGCCCAGTATAAGAGGACCTGTGTGGTTGTAGGACCCCCTTCCTTGGTCTTGGTCCCTGAGATGAGTGAGCACTACCATCCATCTTTACTCACGTGAGACTTAGTATCCAGAACAGGAGAGAAGGGACTGTCTTGATGCTAGGAAGATGGTTTGTTTTTTTCTTCCTCGCCTCCTGTTTCTGTACCCTTCTCATTAGCCCTGGTGGAGGGGATGGGCCATTGAAATGGGGCTCAGGACACTTTGCCTTTGGAAGCCAAATCAAGGGACAGGTAGAGGGAGGAGTGACTCAGAACTTGCTCACTTGGAACTCTCCGAGCTACACAGGGCCTGGGATCTGTACAATGAAAACCCTGTCACGGGTGCTTTCTGGAAGTTCTCACCTCTTGACTGTCTGTTTCAGGTGGTGGAGGAGTCACCCTTCCTGACTCTGGACATGCTGGAGTCCTGTTTCCCTTATGTCCTGCTACGCAATGCTTACCGGGAGGTTTCCCGGGCCTTCTACCTGAACCGTCTGCCAGCCAGTACCCACTGAAGGGCCTTGTGGAGGTGCCAAGAGCCACACCACAGTGAAAGCTGCAGCCGTTTCCTCAAAAGGGGAGAAGAGAGGGAAGTTTGCCAGGGAGAGACAGGGTCAGGCCCTACAGCTGGTGACAGGGATGTGGAGGAGGATCTGGAACTGAGGAATCATGGAGAAGCGGGATAGGATGGGGCCATGGAGGACAGTTTATGGACAAAGGGGTGTGGAACCACATGTATGAATTTTTAACAATGAAAAAAAAGCCAGTGACCTATAACCGTGTTGTATATCTTATGGTGATTCCAGCTTGAGCTCTGACAGGCATGGGTCTCTCCGACCTTCATCACTATTCTAGGATAATGCTGGCGGGCAGAGATGATCAATCATCGTATTAAACCATAATGAGCTTATAATCCTCCCTCTGGAGCTGCTATTGTCTCCTGCACATTCATTAGGACGATTATCTCCTCTCTTCCTTTTCCAAATGTGTTCAGCAAATGTCCAGCCTGCTCCTACTGCTGCAGAGCAGCACAGGGACCCGCTTCTCCTTGAAGGGCTCTTCCTCCAATTCTGCTTGACTGCCTTCTCCACTGGGGCAGGGAGGAAGTGCCTTCCAAAGGTTTCAGGGCCAGCTTACTCTCCTACCTAAGGTCTCACCCCACCTCCTTTTCCTTGTGTGTCTCCATAACCCAGAACAGAGGTGGGCAATCCAGATCAACCCTAGGTCACCTGACAGCCAAGTGAACCAAAGTCTTCCTAGACCATTTAGGAGTATTCTAATTTAACCCTAAATCCCCTTGTCAGCCTGAGAACAGCTGCTGCTCCAGGCAGGGACTTCTCTTGAAGATCTGATATTTCACAGACCTCATTAGGTTGGAAGGCTCATGACTGTGGCTCTTTGAGGAAGTACAAGCTGTTTCAACTTAGCCCTTTTCTGCACCAATTAGAATTTCAAGTGTCACAGAGCCCGGGGCATTTAAGATAGCACTTAGCTGGGTTTAGTAACTCCATGGCAGAAAGCAGTAGCCCCATGCTTCACTCACAGACTCATTGCCAGGGAGTAACAGATCATATGTGTCACAGGTCCAGAATAGTTGGATTGGGAAAATATAATTAGCCAGCTGATTAATTAGGGTCATGTCCATACTTCCACAATGAAAAGGAAGCAATTGTTGTTGGCTTTCAGCAAAACCATCCGGCTTTCATTAAACCAATTTGATAGCTGTTTTGGGATTGTGTATAGATGTTTGCTTTTTATTTCTTCAGACCTAGGGTTAGCCAATGCTTCCTTCATTTGACACCCATAATGAATAAACATTTTTGTTAGTAACAACTGTCTGCTCTTTAGGGTAGATTCAGCAGAGACTCTTGCTTCAGGCCTCAGCGAATGCTATTTCCTTGTTATGAAAAAGGCATTATGTGCAAAGAGGGGACTCAGTGTGAGACCAGTTGACACTGCAAGAGCAGCTGATGAGAAAGAAACAGCTCAGGGTGATCTGATCAGTGAATCTCCTTTCTGCTGAGACAGGGTCTTGCTATGTAGTTCAGGCTAGCCCCAAATTCATGGTCCTCCTCCATCACTACACCCTGCTGACAGTACACCCCTGTGTCTCCAATTGTTTCCTCTGCTCGAGGGGTACACAGACCCTTCATCTGCACGAAGAAGACTAATTTACAAAGAGCCTCCCAGAGGATAGCTAGAGAGGTAGCAATGGAAGTAGAGATAATGTCCCTTTGTTAATTAAAAAAATGTGATACTTGATGTACATGTACTTGTAAGAAATAATACAGAAAGGGCCCGTCTATCCTCACACAATTTCATCCAGTTACCTCATGATTCTCTAGTTTATGGTCACAACTAAGATATGGGGTATTAATATAATTCACTGAACTCATTTAGGTGTTCCAGTTTACTTATACTGGTTCTCTGTGTATGTATATGCAGCCCTATCATGTGCAGGTTTGTATATCTGACACAGTCAAGACAGAGAGTAGCTAACTCTATTACCACACAGATTTTATAATTAACCCCATTCCCCTCTCACAACCCTCCCACCCACATTTCCACATCAACAGATTTGTTTTCCACTCCTAAAATTTTGCAATTTGACAATCTCTTTTTATAGATGTGTAATTATGCCCACCTATTTGTCTACCACCTATACCTTTTCAAATCATTTTCTAAACTTAAAATAATTTTGTAAGGTAATCAGGGAAGGCTTCCTTATGGCTGGTCAGGAGACACACTCAGCGACAATAAATGACTTAATGAATCAGGTCATGTGTTGGACTGGAAATGAACCCAAATCTGATGCTTAGGGTTGGACTTTCTTCCTGATAGACTGCCTCTTTATAGAATCCACAAAACTGTAGAAGGAACAGAGAGGAGATGTGAGGATGAGACTACCTTTATCCTCAGGAATAAAAGTTCCTGAAGTAAAGGAATGCACAACAAAAAAAAAAAACAAACAAACCAGGACACATCAGCATTTCAGGTATTTGCTTCCTCAATGAGGGTCTCTGACTTCTTAGAACCCAGGACACAATCAGCTATGGGCAGTTTTTTCTCTGAGCCCCCTCAGTGTGTTTAACTTAGGCTTCCAAAGCACTGAGGAGTGACTATCAGGAGGGATACTGACCCCAATTGCTCTGACTTGTCAGGGAGAGTCAGTTCTAGCCTCAGTATTTTCATCAGTGCAGTGTTTTCATTAAGTCTCCATTAGCTTCTTTGCAGTAGTGAGATGGAATCGTTCCTCCCACCAGGCTGGAGGGGGATGCTCCCTTAGATGCTGTCTTTGGTTTGGGCAGCAGACATGCTGCCTCTTCTGTTATGATTATCTATCCAGGAGACAGGTAAGGAGGGCAGCCTCGAGGTGCAGTCTGAGGTCTGGCCAAGGAAAGCGAGGCTTCCCTCTGGCACTTTACAAGGAAATAAATGTGTCTTGAGCACCAGATCCTGAAGCAGGGCGGCCCCAGCTGAGGACCAACCTCCATAGTCTCTTAAGACCCAGGTGCCGGGATCAGCTCATTCTTCCCCCGCAAAGTACGAACTTTGGCTGAAATGTGCTCACGTTGGTGGGGGAAGGATGTTCTTCCAGCCTTCCTCCCCACAAGGCCTCTTGCTTCTCCCAAGTATCTGTCATCCCAGGAGGTGAAGATGAGCCCCCTCAGCCCCCACACCTCAGGGAGTTGTCAGGTGTTCTCCCTCCCACCTGAACAGGAACCTGGAGCTGCAGGCCAGGTTGCAGATTGGGGAAGTCAGAAGTTAACTTGAGCTGAGTTTGCAGCATGGTAGAGACTGAAGAGCAGGCTTTTCTCCTGTCACTTTGGAAAGAGAGGATTGTGGGGCTGTCCCTTTAAATAGCATTCCCGTAGGAGGCAGATCACATCCATCCGTCACCTGCTGCCAAAGCATCACTTTTAGTCTTTATCAAACTCTGAGCTTGTTGGAAGGGATTGTGGGGCAAAGTGTGTGAGGAGGCAGACTTTCCAAGGGGCAAGAGCAAGGCATTTCTGGGGAAGCCGAATGGAAGGGCAGTGAGGCTGGGCAGAAAGAGCCTGGGAAAGGTGGGAAGGGACGGGAGGTGGAAGAGACAGTAGCCGAGTTTTGACTCTGAATGGGGCAAGTGTACCATCCTATTCCTGTCTCTTTAGGAGTTCATAAAGCTGAGATGTGATGAACAGGGGTGAAGCTAAACACCAGAACTTGTTACGAGAGAGTGAGAGTCAAAGAGTGGAAAAAGCCCTAGAAGCTTGGAGACCTGACACTGAGGCTAACTTCCATGGGACTTTTATGTTTCTGGGCATACTTTTCTTATTGAATGGAAAGGAAGGTAGACAGAGTCCACAAATGATCTTTGTCTTAAAAGGGTCAGGAGTTAGGGGCCCAGAAAAGCTGGCATGCCATACTCTCTGGAGCCCTTCCTGCCCTTTTAACTCTTCGGGTTGAACTGCCTGTTTACATCTGGAAACTCCTTAGTTCTAAGGTAATTTTTGAGTTAGAGCTTTTTACTCTAATCCCAACTCACAATTAATTCTTGTGTAGCCTCCAGGCAAACCCTTCTTTAGTTGATAAAAGAGACTGCTCACAAATGTTGCCACCCACACTGTGCAAGAGTGGTAGGGTCTCAGACCCTCAGGTCTCTTGGCTGTGGCAGCTCCTTTGGAGAGGAGGGGGCAGTGATGGGTTGAGGATTGATAGAGAGCGAGGGCCCGAGATTCTGTCAGCTTGGCTCCTTCTCCAATTCTGCTATAGCCTTCCGCCTTTGTACGTCCTGGTGGCTGTTTCTCTGAGGCATCCCCTCTGCAGGAAGAAGGCAAGCCCTGAGTTGGCAGTTCCTTTACAGTGGGAGCCTAGCGCTCCCTCTCTGTTCCTTTTCCCTCCTTAGCCTGGGAAAGGCGGAGCCTCCACAATAGAGAGCTTAGAATACTTGTTTCCCCCTGATCATCTCTCCTTTCAAACAAACTCAGATTCACATCTGGAACCCTGGGTTAGTGGCCTATTAGAAACTAAAAAAGACAAAAATAACAAAACACCCATTATTGGCAATCAGCGAATATTTCTATTTGTTGGTTGCATGGGAGTTTCTCCAGTAAGAAAGCAGGTGTTCCTTCAGGGGAGAACAAAGAAATAGAACTGGTACCAGCGAGAGTCTGCGGTTGAATGGAAGAGGTTTTTGCCCTGCCACACGGTCTTGAGTTCAAATCCCATCCTCTTTCACAAAATGTTTATTCAGCAGAGAGGCTGTCCTGCACTGGCCCTTACATTAATTCCTGTGAGGGCAGAATAAAATGAAACGAGCTGGAACCACTGCAAGCCGGGTGAGGCAAGCTATCAGGCCTGATTTCCTGGCGGTGTGCAGTTGCTGGATAGTTAAGGAAGGCATGGGGGCTGCTTGCTCTGTAGAGTTTTAAACGAGGGAGAATTTTCCTCCAGGCAGGTGGCTGGAGGAACCGTGGGGTGGGCGACAGAGGCAGGTCAGGAAGACCCCGTTGTGGGAGCTGAGGCCAGCTGTGGGATGCCAGCCTCGCTCAGAGCCACCAGAACTTTTCCTTTCAAAGACAGGCGCGCATTGGCCTAGCTAGGTTCTGAGGCTTGTGGCTTCACTCCACCCACGTCCGGGTGCCCCAGGGAGAGATAAGGACCTCGGGGGACACGCGGACAGCTATCCATGCGTGGAAGCGTGGGATCACATGTGTGCATCTACAGAAACTCCGAATATACCCGGGAGGAACCACCCCACCATCCACACCAAGTCCTGCGGGCCGCTCGTGCGCGCTGTCGACACGCACTCCCCCCCCCGCCCCCGCCCCCTGCTCAGGGCACACGCAGCAGCCACTCGTGCCCGGCGCCCGTGCGCGCGCTCGCCCTTGGGCGCTCCTGAGTGTGTGCACCCCCGGCTCCCCTGCGCTCCTAGGCGAGGGGGAGGAGTGGCTGCGCCACGCGCTAGACCGGCTGGCGGGCGGACTAAGGAACAGGGAGGGGAGCGGAGGGAGGGGGCCCTGGCCGGCGGAGGAGGAGGGAGGCGAGGAGGCGGCTGTGGCAGCGCGCGGCGGCGGCGGAGGTAGCGGCGGCGGCGGCGGCGGTGGTGGTGGCGGTGGCGGCAGCGGCAGCGGCGCGGAGAGCTGGAAGAAGAGGGAGCCCAGAGCTCGGCCGGGCAGCGCGAGAGGAGCAGTCGCAGGAACTGCAGCTCTGCCAGCTTGGGCCGAGCCCAGAGACACCGGCCTGGCTGGTCCACGCCAGCTGCAGGTGGGAAGGGTCTAGGATGAGGGGAGAGGGTCTCTCAGCAAGGGGTCAAAGCTGAGCAGAGGGGCTGTCTCCTCCTTCTGTTCCCTAGACAGTGGCTAAGCATGGAGCTGTCCCCCCGCAGTCCTCCAGAAATGCTGGAGTCGGATTGTCCATCACCCCTGGAGCTGAAGTCAGCCCCCAGCAAGAAGATGTGGATTAAGCTACGGTCTCTGTGAGTTTCTGGCAGGGGAATGTGCATGGGGCTGTGTGTGTGTGTGTGTGTGTGTGTGTGTGTGTGTGTGTGTGTGTGTGTGTGTGTGTGTGTGTTGGGGGGGCAACTGGAGCCGGACAGGTAGATTCTTTGGTCACACACGTTGGCAGGTGAGAAGAAACATGGCCCTGACCCAAGGTCCACACCACATGTGTGAAGCATCTGCAGAGCAAACCCGTTGGTTAGAGCGGGTTTAGGAGTTGCAAAGCTTGTGCTTGTGTTTGTGGCC